AAGGTATGGTTGGATATATATATATATATATATATATATATAGGGGCCTTTTATAGTTTTCCGCTGTTGTTTGTCTTGATTATATTAGATTGAAACGAACTTTAAGATTCTGTGGATTGATTGGCATTTAGTTCGAGATTTAGATTAAATTCTTGGATTAATTTGTCTGATTTAATTAAATCCATGGACTTGAAGTTTAGATTTAGTTAATCGAACTGGATTTAACCTTCTTCAATCTTAGTTTTTGGGGTTAATTTTGAGAATCTGACCCAGAAGATACAATTAGCTTTACTTAAACATGAGCTAGACCCTAAATTACCTTTAAATCTTTAATATAACCCTAGAACATCAAATTCAAGCCTTGCCAACACTCTCAAGCCTCAATAATTTCCCACCAACAGCAATTTTAAATTCCCCAACGCTTTAACTACCTTCACACTCGTCTAGTGCGTGAGAATCAACTCTCAACAGTCTTTATTTCCCTTTTTATCTTCAAGTTTCTTGTTCTTTACATCCAAATTACGTCATGAATCTCGGTAGACGCCGCAAGTTTAATTTTAATCATTTAAAACATTTCTGACTGAATATAAAGAAGGCTAATAATAAGAATTTTAATGGCCGAACTGGATATTTTGTTGCTCAGTCAATTGCTAGTTCCAAAAACTTTCCACTTCAAAAATAATTATCCCGGACTTGTTCAGAGGTGATTTTTACTTTTTTGATCGCATTATTTTACACCCCATCTTAAAGATCTCTTTTTCTTTATTGTGTTGCTTGTCTGTATGTAGTTGTGGATTGAATAGAAGCATAGACAAAAAAAAATAACGATTTTTCTTGTTACATTCATTCCGTTTTAACTCATTTTTAAGTTCTTGTAGGAGATTTAGGAATGAAAAACCTGAAATTTCATGTTGGCATGTCTATAAAGTTAAATGGAATGTATTTTACAGGTAGATAAATATCTCTCCTTTTTTAAGGCTTCTTATTGTGTTACACAAAATGTTACGGCTGCAAAATTACACATTTCTATGCTCTTAGGTAGATTTTTTTAGACTGCATCATGTGCATCTTGTTGTGTCTTTCTTCATTATTATTATTATTATAATAAGTTTAAACATTCTGTTTCGCAAAATATAAAGCCACACAAATGAAATTTCAACAGAAGTTTCTTTTTTTTCCCGTAAAATGAACTCTGTGACTTTGTGCTGTATTATAAAACAACAAGGAGAATGACAGTTAGGAATGAAGTTGCACAATAACCCAAAACACGTGAATGTAATTTTACGCATCCACAGAATTTTTGTTTGAGACAATGGCAAGAAGAACAGCAATTTTCACATTATTAAAGTTATGACTAGCTCATTTATAATCTAAATTTAATATTTTGTGCCTCAAAAATAGCTTTTCATTATCAACATTTATTTCGTTTCCAATAATAAAATATGTGTGTGCTTGGCTGTTTATTTAATACAACAAGAAGCGATGAATTAAATATTCTCAACCTTTAACCTCAGATCAGACACAATTGTGGTTGTAATCAACAAGTAAATGACTTCGCTTGCTCTCTATAAAAGATTGATTAATAAATTACGTAACTTTCTGCTTTCTTTGTTGTGCATGATCACTACTCTTGCAATGTATTTATATATATGGAAAAGGAAGTGAGCATTTACATAAAGGAATTACAATACTCCGACATTGGCTTCATTTTTCTTTACATATACTTTGTTTTTCTGCGGTTTTAAACTCTATAGCAACAACTCAGCACATTTACATTCCATCATGTAATCGTTTCTCTCTCATTTCTTTTATCTTTTTAAATTCAATTCTTTTAAAGCATAATTAAAAGTCATTTCGCATTTCATGGGATTTTTTTCTACTTCTTTCTTCTGTGTGTCTTTTTCTTCACAAGCCCTTTACATAACAATAATAATAATTATTACAGATGTACAGCTTAAAAGAATTAGACTTAAGAATTACGTTAATTATATTCAAATGCCTCAGCATGTAGACAATGAAATGCTGTTCTTTTCAATCTTTTTCACCAGATTTATCGCAAAAATGTGCGATCAAAATAAGTATTAAGGCTTTCATATTCAGTTAATCTTGTGATTTGGTCTGGACTGTAAATTGAAGTTCAAAATTTGAATATTATTCAAGTTTGAACCTCTTGAAAGCCGCTAATATTTGAATTTTTAGAAGTCGTTAAATTTCGAATTTTTAAAAGTCGTTAAATTTTGAATTTTTGAAAGCCGATAAATCAAGAATTCAGTATTATTATTATTCGCGCACGATCAAAGCTGATCAAACAAATTTGTCGCTATCTCAATTCTCAATTCCCCATAAAGTGTGTGCAAATATGTCTGATCAATTGAGTAATTTAAATGAGGAGGGTGACTGAACCCGCCAAAAGAGTTTATAACAATAAAAGAAATTCCATTCCTCATCCCGTCTTGATTTCAAGAGTAATGAAATTAAATAAACTTTATTATCGTCAATCTCGCACCCGAAAAAAACACACAGTGTATTATTTTTCAAGCCATAATAAAGGCGAAATAATTCATACAGCTAACAAAAAACACATTTCCATTGTCAATTCAATTCACTGCGAAAAGTTATATTCCCGTAACCAGAATGGAAATATTTTTTTTTTAATTATTATCATGGTTCCATGACTTTTTCACCCTCAACTGAATTTCCTTTTACATGGTTCTACATTTTACACTATTTTATTATTTTTCACAGACAACAACTAACTCTTATAGTCTTCAGAAACATGTTGATTCACTGCCGGTATAATAAAATATTTTTTACGACTGTCCAATCGATCAAATAATGTATAAAAAAAATGATGATGAAGAAGACGAAGAATTCATGGCTTGGGTTTTTCATCTCTTAGAAGAAGGAACAACAAAAAATTCCTTTTACTTTACACACTCTCGTGTGTAGAGAAGAGATGGAAGCGAGAAAAAGGCACAAAACACAATAATAATGGATCAGAATTCTTATTTTTTTCTGCCTGAGCCTTTTGTATCCGAAAAATAAGAAGGAACAGAACACAGAAAAAATTGAAGAAAATTAAACTCAAAAGGCACTCTCGGATAGGCGTCTTGATGAAGCGAACGAAACAAACTGAATCGTTCCAGAGCAATTTTCTTATTTACTTGAAATTTAACAAAAAACATAAAATAAGTATTAAACTCCTTAAGTGTATGTGGCAGAGACACATAAGAAAATGAATTGACGACGCTTGCTTGTGTGACTTAAAAAAAATTGCTCTCTGTTCTCTCTTGTTAAGTTAGGTCTACACACTTATGTATCTCTGTATATAGATGAATGATGATGAAAAAAAAAAAAATAAGAATTCTAAAGAACCTCTTTGTTACTTCCACACTCTACTCTATCATTAAAAAAGGGTCTCAACTAATAAAATGCATGAAAAATAAGTAAAGTAAAAAGTTTTGATTGTATTAGCGAAGTCGAGTCTCTCTACTTTAAACAATCTTCGGTAAGAAGATCATTAAGTTCATCATCAATTTTTATTTTTTTTTATAAACTGGCCTTGGAATTGTTGTTGCACCCTAGAGTAAGTAAATGTTGAGATTGTATAAGTAAGATAATTGTTGTAATTCTTCTTGGTCTCCTCTCCATACCATACAACATGCCCATGTACAATTGAACATGAAACAGTTTAATATATTATACATACTCCATTCCTTACGCCGAGCAAAAAACTTTGATAATGATGATGGAGAAGGAAAACTAGTGTAAATGTGGTCGCTCCCGACCGATCTAAGCGCATATTTGCGTGTGCAATAGTTTTGAATCAAGATACTTATTTAATTGAAATGTAGCTGTCGAAAAAGATTTGAAAAATAACGGTTAGGAAAAATGAAATTCAAAAATATTTGAAGCATAATATTCAAATGTTTTAAAACCGTTACTTTTCAAATCTTTTTTGACGGTTAGACTTTTCAATTTATGAAAAGGAGGTTTAGACTGACATAATAGAGACAAAAGCTCAACTTCCCTTTGAGGAAAATTCGCTTGAAAAATAAAAGAATGGAATATAAAACATACAACAAGAAAGAAGTAGAAGGTATGAGAAACCTGAATTTTTTTTTCTTACTTTTTCCCCTACAGCGTGGCTTCATTTCTTTCCTCCTTTCATACATGTTTTTTGCCGTCATGTTGCGACACAGAAAGAAATAAATAAGATTAGCAAAGAAGAAATTAATGGATGGTTGAAAAACCGACCGAATGGAGATAGAATAAGAAGAAAACCTTTTTCATTGCTCCTTCCGCAAACGCTTCGCATTTTTTACAAACTTACGCGATTTGGCGCGAAACAAGCACTTGTTGATGCCAATTGATAATCTCCAGTGATCGAGGAGATCAAGCTTAGTGAGAGATAAAAAGACTGCAAACGTCATGAACTTATTATGATTATTCGTAACATTTGAAATTTTTTTTGGAGGCATCTCAACGCAGACATGAGCTTTATACATGCTTATATATATTTATTTCACTACAGCAAATTATTATTACACACAAAACACATCCAGTCACTTATATGATCGCACTCAAACTAATGGACATTTGTGAATCTATCTTATAAGACTCAAAATATCGACTGAAACTCTCAGTTTGATGCTCTCTCAATAACTTCTCTCTTGCACAATATTATATTAAGCAAAGCAGTCTTGGTGAGGGGAACATGGTAGTAACAATAACAAGATCAATATAGTGGCTGAGAGAGACGTAAAATGATATTAAGCTAGTGGTTGTGGTTGTTAATTGGAAATTGTGTACGGATCAAAATATGATTGAATTCAATGGAAAGGCTGTTGTATTTAATTGAGATTTAATTTATAACAGATAGATACGCTCAGTTAATGGTATATTAAGATGGTAGATCAATAAAATTCATTTAATAATGCAGAAGATCGTAAAAATGAAGATAATAAAGAGAATTGCAAGATTTATGTCATTTTACGTACCTTTGGAGTTAGTGTAACATATGATCCGAGCAATTCGTTCTCTTCCTCATTCATGTCTTCATCATTTCCTTGGTTGTAAATTTTAAGTCTCGACTCTTTCTGGCTCGATCGCTTTAAAACTTTCCTTTGTACATTTTTATACTGTCTATTTTCCATCTCATTGAGATACTCGATTGTCGGTTCAGCTCCATTTAAGTTTGATATACTGTAGGCCATCCATTTCTCAACAAACTCTGCTGGATCATCGAGATCGTGTGTCTTACAAATTTCTAAGCCTTAATTTTTCAGAGAATTTTGTCGGTCATTGAAATTTCTTGATTTTTCTCGTTCTACTTACATCTTTCGAGGACTTGTTCTGTTGCATCCACTCCTAGATCATCAAATTGTTCTCGTAAACTCTCAATATTCATTTTATTCACTCTAGTTTCACTGAATTTAATTATTGTTTATTTCATATCTTTTCTAACCATAAAAAAACTGACTGTGTTTTCAAAAAAGCGGGAAAATTTGCTGTCAAAATTCAAATTTTTTATTTCCGTTATTTTTGCAACTCATAAAATTGAAACATAAATCATAACTCAGCATAACTTAATTTTACTACAAAAATTAAAACATTTTTTACACATAATTCTGTTCAACAATAACTTGTGACTAACGATCTTCTTCTATTTCGTTTTGATCAATAAATAAATCATTGATAGCTCTATCGAGAGCATTATTGGACGAAGATTTTACTTGGTCGTCGCTTGTGCTGTTTTCGTCGCTATAATTTAAAAGTTTTAAATCATCAGTAAGAAAATGAACAGCATTAAGTAAAATTGAAGACCGTTCGTTACCAGTGTCTGTTGAATTCTTATCACTGATTGTAGCCTTTTTTGGAGTTCTTTTGGGTTTTTCAGGCAGTAATTCCAATGGATTGTCTTCTCCGCGTTCCTCTAACTGTGCCTTCTTTCTGAAGACAAAATCGTTTACTATCTTGGGTGTCCAGGATCTCGAATCTGTGAATAAATATGTGATTTACTGGATTATGACTATTTAACGTAATCATTCTTACCTAGATCGGCAATAACTCTCGTCAATTCTCTAATTTGTGTATCCTGCCGTTCTGCCTGAAATGCCAGCTCATTAAGCGTAGCTTGCAATTCCATTTTCTCTTGAATTAACATCTCTTCTTTGTGTAGTTCCTTTCTACTTTGTCTTTGATATTCTAATCTAAAGTTAATGATTTTTATTAACAATGTATTGGACACAATTTAAAGGCATGCTTACATTAGAAGGCCAGCTCCTATCGCGAATATGATAGTCTCACCTAAAAGATTTGCTCCTAATTCAATTGCCATTGCTTCCGTTAATTTAGGCACAGCTGTGGGCTTTCCCAAGTTCAGTGCCAACATTTTCATCTTTACTTCCATATAATTATAAAACTGAGCTGGTGGCATGCAAATGTATTTACGGAAGAATGGACTACTCTTTGCTCGCGTTTTAAGGACATTAGCTATTGGCTTGGATATTTGCTTGAGGGCCAAAACTGAAAATGGATTAGATTGAATTTAGATAAGATTTAGAGCAGTTTAAATCAAGATGTGGATAATGGATAGACTGTCATATAACATGTTATTTCCATCCAAATTCTTGCTAATTGCAGTCATTGAGACACCTTTATCTATGAATCAAATGACTTTCGGACATTAGAATATAGCTAAATATCACTATAAACAGCTACATCCATAATCAAAGCAAATCAGTGCCACTGGATGTTTTCTTTACACTTCCTTAAATCCTTGCCAATGATGATAATGAAAATCTCAAATTTAAGCAATAATGAGGAATTAAACAAGCATTACCTCCGAGTTTAGCTGCAGGAAACGCTCCAACGGCCATTATGGCATGCAGATATAGCCACTTCAAAGAGTATTAAGCACTTAAATTAATAAAATTGTGATTTCACAAATTGAATTTTTGCACAAAAAATAAAAACATTTTCGGCTGATCGATTTAAATTTTTAAAGACCGTTATCAGTGAGTCATGCTGCATGCTGCATACCCAAGAAATTATTAAAACTACTATCTTTAAATTTATAAATCAGTTGTTTGAGCAATTTTGATTGATTAAGATCTAGTTTATTTAAAAATTAATTAATAAAATCAAAACTTATTGTGTAATCAAGGTAATTATCCCATTTTCATCTTTTTTTCGGGTGGTTCCTGTTTAATTTGAACATTTGGAACTGTCGCAGTGCTATTATTGTTGCTAACAACTTCATCGACTGGCTCCTGTTTAATTGTGACTTTTGTAGTATCGTTTTTATTCGTGTCTATCTTATTGCTTGTTGAGTTCTTATCTTCATCAGGCTTATTTTGTTCAGTTGCGATTTGCGGAACTGGGAATTTCCTCAATAATTCTCCAAGCAGGATATCAACTCTTTGACGCTGGAAATAGCTGCTTGGCTCTTCTTTCGGTTTCTCCTTTTTGACTTCCTTTTTCTCCTCAGTGACTGATGAATAAATTGTTTAATAAGTTATTGTGACTAATATTATAGCTATCAACTAGCTTACCAGCTTTAGTTGATGAAAAATCCCATGAATAGCCTTTTTGTGGATGGTATCGAGCAAAGGAATTAGCTTCATCAAAGGCTTGCTGTAAGTGATGAACAGTGGATAATAATCTTGAATTAAAGACATTTCCTAAATCTGGAGCTTGATAAACACGTCCAGCGAGAATATAATAGTCAGTTAAAGGTGTTGTTTCTTCAGGTGAATGTCTGTGCTGCTTCCTCACAACATACAGAATTGGTTCTTTAACATGCAGTAAAATGTATTCAGTTCCAATCATGTTTTTAAGGTTGTCCATTGATTGCCGTTGCATTTTAACAAGCTCATTGTTGCATGTTCTGTCATAAAATGAGTTAGACTTGTCCGAAAAGTAATCCAGAACGTTTGTGGCATTTAAAAATGGAATAAAGTTTGTGTCATGCCAAGATATATGAAGTGGATTCTCTTTAGCCATCTTTGTATTATTTCCTACACTTTTACTCACGTGCTGAACACTTTCGATTTAATTTGATACTATTTATAAACTCGGAAATGCCTTAATTCAATGAATTATAATTAAATTTTGTATAAAGTTGCAATTTTTTCAAGGTTTGTTTTGATTTTGAAATTTGAATTTTAAAAAACCGTTAAAGTAATGATTTGTGCTCATTTATGTTGTGACTTATGTTCATTTATTATCAGATAATTTAATTCAATTTTAATTCTAAATTTTATTGATAAGATCCAGCAATTGTTTTTTCTCTGCTTCTTTCTTCTTTCGTTCCTCAATGCCTCGAGCCTTCCATGTACTTTTTCTCAACTTTATTGGACGTGATCCAACGTATCTTCCATCAAATTCCTTCATTGCTTTAATAAAATCTGCAGGTTCTTTGAAGCTTACAAATCCATAGCCTTTAGTTTTATTCGTTCTTTTATCACGGATAACTTTAGCTCTTTGAAATGATGGGAATTTGCTAAATGTTCTAGTAAGGAGCTCGTCCGTAACGTCATTTCCAAGATCACCACAAAAGATTCTAAAATCATCTTCAGGCCAATCAGCTAAACTTTGATCTTCCCAAACGATTCCACCTGCCTGTCTTACAGTTTTCTTATCCATCTTTCTCTTATCTTTATTGCCAAATGACTGAAGTGCTGATGATGCTTTTGCTGCCTTAACAATATCCTCAACATTAAGATTCTGTTGTGCCTTTTCAGTTTTGGTCTTTTTTGTGGATTTTGTTGGCACTTCAAATTGTAGAGAATTAATATCAAAATTTGGACCAACTGATGTGCTTGACATTGCTTGAAATGCAGGCATTGGAGCTGGAATCTCTACAGTTGGTACATTCGGTCGAGTATAAAGTTTCGGAGCACTAAATAGAATAGGACTCTTTTCAATCATTGGATTATTTGCTATTTGATGAAATGTTGAATTAAATGATGGTGTTGGCATTTGTGCAGGAACTGGTGGCTTCATAATCACTTTATTCGATGAATTCGATGCAATTGTATTATATGCATTAAATTGCTTGATTTGTGATGGCACAAACATTGGTCTTGCATTATTTGCGTTACTTCTTATTAATTCCTTCGATATTTCTTGCTCAAACCTTGACATTTCATCTTCCATATTCTTCCTTTTAGTTCCCATCTTGCTAGATCCTTTATTTTTGCTAAAATAATTATTTTTTTTCAATATTCTGATTTATGTTTACAATCGTTTACGATTCCTACTCCTTGACGAAACTTTATGGGCGAATATACAGAAGCTGTCGCTTCACTATTTTTTCCAAAAATTATTTTATTGGCTCATTTGAAAGGTCTTTTTTCTAATTTTGGCCCAAAGTGCAGCAGTGCTGGATATATAGCCCGAAATTCATTTTGATGACCTTCGATAGTTAATATTTTCAATTTATCAGAACTTTTTCTTGTCTCAACCATTTTTCTTGAAACTTTTTTTAAGTGAAATTATAAGCCGAAGCTTTAATATAAATATCAGTCACATAAGTTTTACTTCATGAAAAGTGCTTAAAAATTGACAAAACTTCAAATGTAGTATGGCACCCTTTTTTTGAGTATGTGGATTTCTGATGCATTTAAGTGTTTTTCTTTTTTCATTAAAATGTAGCCCTTTACTAGATCTACAAGAAAAATATCCCTTTCAAGGTACAAAATTATATTTATGCATCAAAAAATATAAGGTTTTTTACTATGTTTTGACTTCAATTGACTATAACTGCATATTTTAAGTGAGTGGAGAGACAAGTTTTAACTGTTTTATATATCCCTCACTTGTATCTCTCTAAACCAAATTTATGACATATACTTGAGATTTTATATAGTTTTGAGCAAAAATGTTAAGTATGGTTCTTCACACACCTCGAATTTTGAGTAATTTTTCAGTTTTTTCAACATTATTCAGGGATATTGTACTCATATATGACATATTATATATCGTTGGAAAGGTAATTTAAGCAGCTTAACACAAAAGGCAATACAAATACTTTTTGTTAAGCATATAGTGTATTTAATGTCATTTACATCTCATTGAAAATGGAAAATGTCGACATTTCAAATAAAAATGGTCCAAGTCCATGCCAAAAACTCAAATTGATTTTAAAACATCAAAAACACTATTTTCTATCATTCCACATTGATTAAGATTCGAAAAAAATGTTCAAAAATTCAAAAATAATATGTTAATTAAACTTCATCTCTTAAATGCCAGATTAAAGATCTTAACTTGAGGCATATTCAGTGAAAATATCTCGTTTCAATTTGATGTCTAACTGCAGAAATCTTTAATTTATTTTCAACAAAAATTTGTTTACTTTTTGTATATGAAAAAAAAACTTTGATTTTCTCTACTTTAAGTTGTTATTTTTTTATCTTGCTAGCTGTTGTTAGCTAAGTTAAGCTTAGATTTGCATGTTAAAACTACCAAATTAACAGAAAACTGCTTGTTAAGTCTTAAAAATGCAATTGAAATCTGAGTATTTTTACAAAACTTAAACTATTCAAAAGTTAAAGTCTTCCAAAGAGCTCTCTGAAACCTTTATAAATTAATTAATTAATCTTAAATCTATATCCCATATTGCTCAGGAAATGCCATTTGATGCCGTTATCGAGATATTTGCGATCAAAGTTTACATAAATTTTCATACAAAATTTGATGTTTATCCTTTATATTAAGGACTGATTTTTTGAGCAATGAACGAAAACATTATGTAGAAGATGCTAAAAGAATCAAATCAAGAGAAATTAACAAACACTTTCAATTTTCTAATGAGTCGGAAAAATTCTTGTGCACAATATTTTTCCGACTCATTAGAAAATTGAAAGTGTTTGTTAATTTCTCTTAATATGATTCTTTTAGCTGCTTTTAGCATCTTCTACATAATATTTTCGTTCATTGCTCAAAAAATCAGTCCTTAATATAAAGGATAAACATCAAATTTTGTTTGAAAATTTATGTAAAGGGTAATTCCATGAGTAATGAGAACTGTGAAAAAGCACTATGCAATATTTCTCTACTTGTAAAAATTCAAATTTCCCAAAACCGTTATAATTTCTAAACGTTTTGTTGTTTATTCGAGTGAATTAGCCGCAATACCATCAAAGAGAGATGGTTCAAATATACATGATCTTTAATGTTTTGAAACTTTAGTTACTTGCTCAATTAAATCAAATAAATGTAATAAACTTACAAGTAAAATCAAGAAAATCTAATGGTTTTTGTGAATTTGAAATTTTTTCAGTGTTCTGTTTTGCAATAATCGGTCAAAAATTGACCGATTAATGCTAGTTTTTTTGATTTTTCTTCTTAATTAAAGCATTAAGGAATGCAAATTATACATAAAACAAAAGCCTGGCTAATATCTAATATGTTAAAAGTAACTTTGGAACATAGAAGTGTGTATTTAAGTAAATATTAGGAAATGTTTAGAAAACGATTTTTCGAAAACTTGACCGATTAATTTTACTTTTATTAAAAAAACAAGAATTAGACATATTTCTGATGTGAAACTCTCACATATGGAGATAAATATTGTGTTAATAAACATAATAAAGTTACAATTTGGAGTACAAAGTTCTTAGTTAAGGAAATATTTTTGAAAAATTGGAGCACTAAAATTTTTTTCACTCATGGAATTACCCTAAACTTTGATCGCAAATATCTCGAAAACGGCATCAAACAACATTTCCTGAGCAATATGGGATATAGATTTAAGCTTAATTAATTAATTTATAAAGGTTTCATAGGGGTCTTTGGAAGACTTTAACTTTTGATTAGTTTAAGTTTTGTAAAAATACTCAGATTTCAATTGCATTTTTAAGACTTAACAAGCAGTTTTCTGTTAATTTGGTAGTTTTAACATGCAAATCTAAGCTTAACTTAGCTAACAACAGCTAGCAAGATAAAAAAATAACAACTTAAAGTAGAGAAAATCAAAGTTTTTTTTTCATATACAAAAAGTAAACAAATTTTTGTTGAAAATAAATTAAAGATTTATGGAGTTAGACATCAAATTGAAACGAGATATTTTCACTGAATATGCCTCAAGTTAAGATCTTTAATCTGGCATTTAAGAGATGAAGTTTAATTAACATATTATTTTTGAATTTTTGAACATTTTTTTCGAATCTTAATCAATGTGGAATGATAGAAAATAGTGTTTTTGATGTTTTAAAATCAATTTGAGTTTTTGGCATGGACTTGGACCATTTTTATTTGAAATGTCATCATTTTCCATTTTCAATGAGATGTAAATGACATTAAATACACTATATGCTTAACAAAAAGTATTTGTATTGCCTTTTGTGTTAAGCTGCTTAAATTACCTTTCCAACGATATATAATATGTCATATATGAGTACAATATCCCTGAATAATGTTGAAAAAACTGAAAAATTACTCAAAATTCGAGGTGTGTGAAGAACCATACTTAACATTTTTGCTCAAAACTATATAAAATCTCAAGTATATGTCATAAATTTGGTACTGTTGGAAAAATCTATGATACTTTCTATGAGCTCATTTACTGCAAATATTTACCAGTAAGTAGTTTTTTGGTGTTTTTCAGATAGTTTAAGTATGTTTCTGTAGAAAACATGAGAAAAATTAAAATTTTTATCTTTACTGTATCTGAAAGGGATATTGTACTCATTTTTTTTGACATTTTATATATCGTTGGAATGGTAATTTAAGCAGCTTAACACAAAAGGCAATACAAATACTTTTTGTTAAGCATATAGTGTAGTTAATGTCATTTACATCTCATTGAAAATGGAAAATGATGACATTTCAAATAAAAATGGTCCAAGTCCATGCCAAAAACTCAAATTGATTTTAAAATATCAAAAACACTATTTTCTATCTTTCCTGAAAGTTTTATCAAGTTTGGACTTGATTTTGAATCATAATTTTTTAAAAAAGATCAGTTAAAAATTAAGAAAGATCCAGCATGCAATCTGTGGAAGCAGCCATAAGTAAATTTTCCTATTGGATTTAAAAATAGAAATAGAAATAAAAAAACATAGTTTCACGAAAGAAGTAAAATGCTGTGAATGAACGATTTATAAGTGTTTGTGACTTTTCCGAGTTTAATGATTTTCATGTTAATGAATTTTCTTTTTTCCTCAAACGTTCTAAAATTAGAGAGTATCATATTATTTTGTATGTAAAAAGCAAAAGAAAAATTTTCAAGTTCATTTAAGAAAAGCTGATGCAAATAGTTCCTGTTTTCATTCATTTCAAAGCATTTGTGGCGAACAGATTAAGTTTAAGTCTTTAAAAATGGTGAGTTGTAACTAGTTTGGATTAATCGATAATATTGATATAAAAACAACCTGTGGATCTTTTGAACAGGGCAAGATATCAGCGGAAACGCAGTCCAAATTTAGTGTAGTTCCAATCCATCATTTCCCAGAGCTTATAAATCAAACAATTAAGTTAATTAATGAGGAATGGCCACGATCAATAGGTTCAGTTTGATGAATAATCATCAGATTATTTTTGTGTGACTAATCATATCTGTTTCTGTTTCTGTGTCTGAAATCTATCATACCAATTTAGGTGCACGATTACATTCACTTACAGCATCAAAAGACTCATTACCAACATCATTAGTGTTAATTAATCTATCAAAGAATAAAAGTGATAAAAATACAAATGATCCAACAGTGCTGGCTCATGTAAAATTGACGCCTATTCCTGCCTTACCGTATGCCTGTTTCATAGAATCTGTTGTTGTTTGGAAGAGTTTAAGGGGTCAAGGAATTGGAAAGTATTTAATGATTGAGGCTGAAAAGTACTGTAAAGCAAGCTTAAGAATTCATGAAATCTATTTGTCCACAACTGACAAAGAGGATTTTTATCAAAAGCTTGGATATGAGTCGTGCGAACCCGTATCAATATTCGGAGGACCTTGTAACTTTCCATTTCGACCAGCCGTAACAAAGAAAAAGTATATGAAAAAAGTGATCGTCGAGGAACAGCCAGACGAGAAACAATGAAGAAATTCTTTATATGTTATACATATTTGTGCCTGCCCGATTGTATATGTTATTACTAATTCTGTATCTCGCCATCATCTCTCATACATGTGATTATCTATTTATAGCAACAAAAGATTGTTATTACTCACTGTCGATTATTATCTTCATTTTTAGACACTACTATCGATCATCATGTGTTTCTTCACTTTTTGGACTGGATATTCTATCGATGATGTAGGTTGACGTTCTATTAATGACTACAAAATTTAACTGTCAAACTATTTTCAAATTTTATGCTTCAAAGTTTAAGATTTCAAATTTTTTGCAACCGATTTTTGACAAATGTTCTAATACCAACTCTTTTGCATACTTTTAGGGAATTCCAGCACGAAAACTCAAGGCCAAGAAAGTCCAAAAAAAGGATTTAATTGACAAGTATTATAAAGTCGTTCCGATCCACAAACAACCGAACTTACTTGACGAGACAATAAAATTAATTAATTCATTTTGGCCCAAATCCCGATCCGAGAGACTATCCATTTTGGGATCGAGCAAAGATGACTTGCCAATGTCATTAATCATGACTTTCGTAAATAGCAACAAGTCAAATACCACGAAAGAAAATGCAATAATTAATGACATATTTTTCAATTCACAAAATATTGATGCACCAATGATTTGTCAGGAAACTGGATCTAAAATCAACGTGCTGGGACATTTAAGATTAGTTCCAGTTCCTGCAGATGATAAAGCATGCTTTATTGAGTCGATGATTATTCGACATGAGTTTCGAGGCAAAGGTTTAGGGTCATTTTTCATTCAACAGGCTGAAAAGTTTTGTGAGGAAGTGCTGCATCTTAAAAGTATCTTCTTATCAACATACGATAGTGGTGAATTTTATATGAAAATTGGATTTAATTTAACTAATGCAATATGTGTTTATGGAAATGGTGAAGTCAATAATGTATCGAAAAAGATTTACTTAAAGAAAGACTTGAATTACATCGAACCTGAAATAATTGAAGAGGAAGTAAAGGATGTCTATGATCCAACAAAAGATTATAATTATAATCAACAGTTAACAATGGAAAATGACATAGTGCTGAGTGGATTTCCTTTCAAAATTGAACGTCCTAAAAGTTTCGTCGACCGACTGTGTTCAATGCTTGATTTTAAGCAGCAAGATATTAAATATTATTATTCATATGAAATTTTTAAGCGCGAAAAGGAAACGAGAAGCTTTCACATTATGATATGTACTGTGTCACACGATGCTAAGCTTGATTTGCTGGATAAATTGAGGAATTTTGGTGTGATGTGCTTTCAAGACTTTTTCGAACGTCCTGTGGATGAATATGACAATACTTTAATTAAACATTCGATGCGTTATACAAACTTAAATTATATTATTTTAAAGGAATTAACAAAATTAAAAGCTGATCGGTGGATTGCTGACTATAAGTATGAGAATTGTCAATTTCAAGCTAATCAAAATGAGCAGTGGATTATTGTGAAAAATTTAGTAATTGTTGAATTATTAAGAACGCCAGAGATCCCTGATGTACCTGACGATACAATAGAAATGTGGGATGAAAATGAAGAGGAACTGGATCTTGTTGATCATCTCGCAAAGTTGAAAGAATCTTTCAAGAAAATTACTGATGATAATTGGTGGACTACATTGAGACGTCCTTCTGAAATTAAATTAGAACCACTTTACAATGAAACATGCAGAATGCAAAAATAGAAGTGGAATCAACAAGTTGTCATCACGAAGAAGAGTTAATCAAAAATCGCTGGGTTAACAAAGTTCGCTGTTCAAATAATGCAATTATATTAGGATTAGATCTAAATGATTATTAGCTTAATTATATTTAAATAATTTTAAGAGCATAGGCGAGAATAAAGAAATTTTATTGATTTAACAAAAATACTTTACAACGGTTTTTTTAAATTTTTAAAATTCTTTTAACATTTTTTTTAAATTTTGAAAATTTAACGGTATTTTCAAAAATCAAAAAATTCTTAAAACGCTTTTGAAATTCAAATTTGATACGATACTTTTTGAAACGACTTTTTAACTTAATTTTACATTTTACATTTTTACAAGGGCTGAAAAAATTTCAAAAACAACAAAAAAATTTTCAATCCATTTTACACTTTTAATGCTTTTCTGGACGTTGTAAGCATAAAGGATGGAAGTCTTTGAGACAGAAAAGCATTATATATTTGTAAAGAATGGAAAAAGTCTTTGGTGGGATCGTAGAACGGGTGAATTTCAAATCAAATGTGGTAAGCTTAAAATCAACTTTTTTTTCTTTATGTGAGTCACCGAGTATTAATCACTTATATCACTTGTATGCTTCAGCATTTGATTTTGCGGAAGTATTTGACATAGAATGTATAGGCATTACGTATGGAATTGTAGGAGAAATTAAGTTTCCAGGAGTTTATGATCCACATTTGCTGATTATTAAGGAAGCAGTTCCAATTGGCTCTTTATGTCAAAGTAATTTGGTTTATAAGATTAAAAGTGTCTGCATATTAAGTCAAGATGAGCCAGATTATCAACTTATTCCATGCTCAAAGCACGCAACAACATCTTTAAGCAGACCAAATTCATCGACACAGTCAAGTCCACAGACAAAGCCTAAAATATTTGATGCCTCGTCTAACTTAATGAACAAAACATGGGGAGCAATGAAAAGTGCTGGAAGTACAATAAAAAATACAACACAGCAGGCAGCTAGCATTGCTACAACGCAAGTTAAATCTAAAGTAGGAATTAAGGAACCATATAAGAAGCTCGAAAAGAGAATTAGTGAGGAGATCCATAAAGTATTTGACGATACAGACTCATTTTATTATTGTCCTACAATTGACATTACAAACAATCTCCAACGAAAAGAAGCTGAAATACATGACGATAGGTTTTTATGGAACAAACATATGTTATCAGAAATGTTAAAGCTTGAAGATCAATACTGGACGCTTCCTATAATTCAAGGCTTCGTACAAGTCGAGCAATGTGTAATTGATAATGAATGCTTTACATTAGCTTTAGTCTCACGTCGATCACGTTTTAGAGCTGGCACACGATACAAAAGGCGAGGAATTGATGAGGATGGGCATGTAGCTAATTACGTTGAAACTGAACAAATTTTATCACTTCGACAGCACCAAATTTCATTTACACAAATTCGTGGAAGCGTTCCTCTTTATTGGAGTCAGCCAGGCTACAAATATCGCCCACCACCAAAAATAGACAAAGGTAGGTAATTGGACATTGATTTCCTCTTGTGTAATCAGCGCATTTCATTAGAATTTGTGCCTTTTTCATTTAACGGTAAAAAAATTATTTGAAAGTTATGCTTTTAGAACATTAAAATTTGAATCTTGAAAAACCGTTAAATGATTAATGGATTCAGACTTAATAAGAACAGTCACATCCAAATCTACAAAGTAAAAAAATGCTAATTATAATGATAATGAACTGAAAGCCCACGTAAAAATCAATTTATTATAACATCAATTAAATTCATGCGCATAATAAAACGTAATAATAATTTTAGATGAGGAAGAGACCCAAAAAGCCTTTGCGAAGCACTTTGATGACGAATTGGATATTTACAAAAACATCTGCATTGTGAATTTAGTTGAGCAATCTGGAAAGGAGAAAATTATCGGTGATAAATATGCGGAACAGATAATACGTTACAACAATGAGAAGTTAATGTATGTTACATTTGATTTCCATGAATATTGTCGTGGCATGAGATTTGAGAATGTATCAGCATTGATTGAGGCATTGGCTGTCGAGTTACATGATTATGGCTTTCATTGGCGTGACACAAATGGTGCAATTAAAAATCAGGCTGGAATATTCAGAGTAAATTGCATGGACTGTCTCGATCGTACGAATGTCGTTCAAACAGCACTAGGAAAGGCAATTTTGGAGTCACAATTAGTCAAATTGGGTCTTGCACCGCCTTATTCACAGCTTCCTATTGAATTGAAAACTATTTTTATGACGCTTTATGCAAATAATGGTGATACAATTTCAAGACAGTATGCAGGCACGAATGCACTAAAAGGTGACTATACAAGAACTGGCGAAAGGAAGATATCAGGATTGGTTAAGGACGGAATGAACTCAGCTAATCGGTAAGTGTCAAAAAAAGTTTTCTATACCCACATTTATAGCTGTCATTGGACTTATTATTCTGTAGCTACTATTTGCAACATTTCGTCGATTCATTTCGACAAAGTACATTAGATCTGTTGCTTGGGAATCTCGAAGACATTAGTGATATAACAGCGGATGACCCATTTGAGCAATTTACAAATATAGCACAATCAGTTTTAATGCCCGACTCTCGGGCACCTACATATTTTAATTATAGCAGTCCCATTGGATGTGAATTGAAATTTATTGGAGATTCCATTTATTTTGCTAGGTGGCTACAAACATGAATATTTATTTTCTTTTGTTGATAATATGCTAGTTTGTGTTCAGTTTGACTAGATATAGTTTTATGTTGATTGCAGAGTTTTGTTATACTTAATTAAAAAATTATTGTGTACTTAACGGTTAAAAAAATGTTTGAATATTATGCTTTTAAACTGAACCGATAAAATTTAAAAATAAGAAAACCGTTAAAATTTAAATCTCAAAAAACCGTTAAAAATCAAAATTTTGGAAAATTGCTAGAATTAATAACAGTCATTGACTAGAAAATGTTTATGCGCTGCAAACCATAACAGCAGCACTTTCATGCTTTATTCATTTCCATAATCACATTTGTTAACCCACATTTTCTCTATTTATATTGCAGTTATTATTTGGCACGATTTAAGGATACGTACAGACAGGCAACTATTGATTTAATGCTCGGAAATCAGATGTCGAATGAGTCATTGAGTGCTCTCGGAGGTCAACAAATTGCCGACGAAACAGACGCAATGGAAAATGCAGAACATGCACGAATGCTTGTCGACGATTGTAGGAAAATGTTATTGGGAACATCCTTAGTTGTCGGTGCATGGGGTCTTATTGATGCTGATCCCTCGACAGGCGATGCTAATGAAACAGAAGTTGATACAATTTTATTGTTAACAAGTAGTGAATTTTATGTTGCTGAATACGACAGTCAATTAGATAAAATTGTTAAATTTGAATGTGTTCCACTAAATAGCGTTACAGTCGTTGAATTTGGACTGTTTCAACAGCAACAAATTTTTAAAAATCCAGCCGCAGCACATTTGTGCATTCGCATAAATTATACAATTGATAATGTTGATGGATATTTCTACATGTTCCGGTCCGCGAATATTAGATTCTTTAACAATACAGCAGTTGTTATTAAAAAGAATGAGGAACTTATTGAATCCATGACTGCAATTGTTGAAGTTTTCCGCATCTCGTTAGAAAGTATTGGCAAGGATGTTCCATTTATATCCGGTGGTTCCTTACAAAGACGTAAGAGTAGGAATATGTTACAGCCACCAACAGGACTTCCAAGAAATTTAAGTGAATCTCAACTCGTACAGCTTGGATCAAAAGCTTTAAGTAATGTTGCAGGACAGTTCTCAAAACTAGGACAAAGCTTTAATCCTGCAAAAGGCAAGAATAATAAGCAGAATGCAAATCCACCTGTTGTTTACAATTCAACAAATACAGAAAGTAAAGCTAGTTCGTTTTATGTTGGACGTGAAGCTAAGGAAGACTATGATTCCGATGAAGACAATGACTGTTCAATTTATGAGCCAGAAATGGTTGAAACAGAACAAAATCCTATTTTTAATGAAAACGCTTTTTTGCCAAGTGTTGGAATTGTTATGTCCAATCCAACACATGATGATAGCTCCCCAGATATGCTTCAAAATAAATTAAATGCCAGACATCCATCGAACATGGCAACAATCTCCATAACAAGTGTGACTGATCATATTCACGTTCCAGCAGCAATGCAACCATTATCTCCAATGATGAGTCCAATGAAAACTTTAGCACCAGAAATTAAGATTGACAACAGCTCAAATTTGACACCAAGAAACGAAATGAGCTTAAATTTAACGGGATCACAAAGTGAAAATGCAATAAAACAATTAAAGACACTCACAAGTCCATTGACTATGATTGCTAAGAGTGTACAAAGCTTAGGGCTAGCTTCCAAGGTAAGCTAAGGATTTTAGAGAGTTCAGTTAAAATTTGAACTTAAAATGTTCATTAAATGTTGAATTTTAAATGTCCGGTAAATCTGACTAGATTTAATTTTGACGAGTTCAAGACTCCTTTCTGATCCAAAAATTTCCTTTTCCTTCTTTCAGTCCCAGACACAACTGAGTGAGATGATTGCCAGTGACATAAACTCCAAGAAGCTCGAAGAAAAGTTCGCTGAAGGAAAATGCAAATCCAAATTAATTGCATTGTAAGACGTGAGTCCTGCAACGATCAGATGTATTGAGTAGGTTCTTAGGATTAAAGAAACTTTTGTGATCTTATGAGCGTATATAAATTATAACCGATTAAATTATTTAACCTTTTTGTGTATTGCTGGTTTTTACACAATTCAACTTTTGATTGTGATGTTTTAAGTTCGTTTAACGACATGCTTCTCATATGTACTCCAAAAAATAGAACAAATAATGTTTTAATATTCAAAAATCTTTTTATTTATTTTTATTAAGAACGTTTGCGAACAATTAGTATTAAATATCCCAAAAAATTAATTGAGGATAGTGATTGTGATCAGAAGGGATTTTTTAAGAATTCAAACATACTAAACTTTTCAACATCGCGTTTGAAGAAGTATTTAGGAGAGCTGGAATGGAATTAAATGGTACAATCTTCACAAAGTCAATTCAGCTTCTTGGTTTTCTTGGTTCCTCCAAAATAGAAAGAGAAGCTAACAAGATCGGGACTTTTACAAGCGCAGGAGCAACGCAGAGTTATGTCAGCTTTTCAATGAAGCTGATATCGTACGACAAATCAAAGTTTACAGACTCCGCTAGGCTTGACATGCCGGTAGGAGACCTCTTGAAGCTCCCATTAATAAAGTATTTAGCAATATTTTTGTCGTTAATGATTGAAAATACTGGAAAATACGTTCAATTCCGTTTAAATATCAGGACTTATTAAAATTGGATTTAATTATTACTAATTGATATTTTTAAATAATTTATTGAATCCCATCTGATCACAAACAACACCTCAAAGCTTAATTATGCTTATTTTAAATCCAACAAAAATCTTATAAGAGAAAATTTTACAATACTAGAACAATGTGTAAGTGCTTGTCAAAAAAATAGTCAATTAATGTTTTACCATTTAACTAAAATTTCATCATAACTTATAAATTAAATATAATTAGACTAATGTTATGAACATTTTTGAATCATAAGCTCGTAATTTTTTATATATTCAAAAGTATTAATTGAAATTTATTTCCACCAAACATAAAATATAGCTTACAGCTTCAAATCTTACCATGAATATCAATCTCTTGGCTTAATTTATTTATGAATTAATAGAAATTCTCCCTATATAGCACATTCCAAGACACTTTTCGATAAGCAAATATAGAAATGAGAAATTTTTGATTTCAAAATAATAAAGCAATATTTAAAACCAATACATAATCCATAAGTTATTTATCAACAATTATTATATTATATATTTGATGTATACTAAAAAGAATTGAAGAATAATAATCTTGAAAACCACATTTAGGGAAACATTTGCACAATGATCAAATTTAAGCCAAAATACATATTTATTCATTGGTTATTGCCGCTCACCTGAATTAGAATAAACAAATTTATAATTATAATTCAATTTGTTTTTTTTTTGAATCAATAAAAGTTGCTGTAGCTTAAAACAATAGTTTTCTTAATTTTTAATAATCCTGGGATAAATGATGTGCTTCAAAAAACAAAGGATTACAACTCACAATGATTCAGATTTGAAAAAAAATATTCAAATAACCCTTGTACATATTTTTCAGACACATTGAAGTAATGCAATTTTTGGTTCATATTCTCTAGTTTAGGACTTTTAATGCCTTTAATCTTACCTGATTATTGATTCCTCAAAATATTAAGTCATGAAATTGAGGATAAATAAGTCTTTTCACAAATGTTTATCAATATTTGGGCATGTGCACATTAATATGGAAGGTTAATTAGACCTTATTCTTTGGATTTTAATAGGTTTGGTAGAAGCGAAGAGACGCGAATTAAACTTATGAGTGTTTAAAGCAGAGGTCGAAGTTGGTGAAGTGAAGTCGTTTCACTTCACTTCACTTCACTAAAATTTCAATCGGTTTTAAGTCAGCTCGAGTGAACTCATTTTTTTCGTGTTCACTCGAGTCGACTTTTAACCGAGTTGATTTTTTCATGTTCACTTTAGTCGACTTTTAACCGAGTTGATATTTTTGTGTTCACTTTAGTCGACTTGAAACCGACTTGATTTTTTCGTGTTCACTCGAGTCAACTTTTAACCGAGTTGATTTTTTCGTGTTCACTTTAGTCGACTTGAAACCGACTTGAGTTCACTAAGGAAAAAAAATGTAATATACCAAACTGATTGCTGCTAGTGCTTGTGAAGTTTATGTGATTACATACAAAATTGCAGAATTTGTCCTTTTTTACTTTTCATAACCATAAAGCAAACTAAACGAATTAATTTAAAATATTTTTTAGATTTCATATATTTTATAAATGTTTTGCACTGTACAATTATCAATGAAATTATTTTAATTCACACCATATTTCCAAATTTGGTAAATATATTTTAATCTCATATTTATTTGTTTGACAACATTGATATATTGATAAGTGCACTGAATGAATCGTAAATTCTATTTTTCTTCTCACTTGTTTTTAATTTCACCATTAAATATAACACTTTTTTTTAATTATAGAGTTAAATTTATTTAAGGTACAAACATAAATAATGAAAAAAATTTAAAACTTGAATTATAATAAACTGGAAGTTTGAAAAATATTTTAAATTAATTCGTTTAGTTTGCTATATGGTTATGAAAAGTAAAAAAGGACAAATTCTGCAATTTTGTACGTAGTCACATATACTTCACAAGTACTAGCAGAAATCAGTTTGGTATATTACATTTTTTTTCCTTGGTGAACTCAAATCGGTTTCAAGTCGACTAAAGTGAACACGAAAAAATCAACTCGGTTAAAAGTTGACTCGAGTGAACACGAAAAAATCAAGTCGGTTTCAAGTCGACTAAAGTGAACACGAAAATATCAACTCGGTTAAAAGTCGACTAAAGTGAACATGAAAAAATCAACTCGGTTAAAAGTCGACTCGAGTGAACACGAAAAAAATGAGTTCACTCGAGCTGACTTGAAACCGATTGAAATTTTAGTGAAGTGAAGTGAGTTTGCTTCATCGACTTCGACCTCTGGTTTAAAGTCTTGGTAAATTTCATAAAAGGTAAGCATAAATATTCGCGTAATCTAAAGGTTTACCTTTAGTATTTACACACAAACACAAAGAACTAAGCTTATTTAAGCTAATTATAGGCACTAGAACAAAAAATTAGAAGTAGAAAGGAGAAAAAATTTAAGAAAAAAGATTTGTTGTCATTTTTTAAACAAATTTATTGTCATCTTAGAATCATTGTGCAACCCTCACATCTTAAGCCGGCTCGTTATTCAAGTTGGACATCATTTATGAACGATTCATTTCTAAGAAGTTATTAAATAGCTTTTAATTGTTAATGTTCTTTTGAGTTTTATATATGAGTTTTATAAGGATCTATTCCTTAATTTTGTTGGCTTAATTATTCCTTTGTCTTCTCAGAATTCATTAATAATTTTTCATTTGTTTTCGTTTGACAGTCTGAATTGCATTCTTCAAGGTTTTGTTTTGAAAAATCTTCAATTTCTATCCTTTGTTCCGCAGTTTCAATTTTTCAACAATTTAAGCGGCATTTTGAGTTTCTTTCATAATAAACTCTTAGATTTAAGCTATTTGATTAACTTGCAAATGTTTTTCATAGCCAAAGAACTTAAACTTTAATGATTTTTTTTTTATTAAATTGGAAATCCAATCAAGATGAACGCGAATGTCAACAAACACACTAGGTAGCGAAAAATTCTTTGAACTTCCCATGGATAATATTCCATATGCAATTGCTTTGTTACCTTTTCTTGCTGTAACAGCTCCGCCACTATTACCTTTTGGGACATAATCTAGTGGTAAATAAGGAGATTAAAATTCTAAAGTTTTTTAAATATTAGTAGAAACTTACCAGAATCAGCACAGAAAATAATTTGGTCCTTGACTCCATCCTTGTAAAACTTAAGGTCTCTTTCACCTCCTTTAGCTAAATAGATGTCATGACATTCCTCAGATCCAACTAAATTCACCTTTATTTCAGAATTGTCAGTATTATTAATTTGATTAGTCGTCCATACATTCATTGTTAAATTTTTAGGAAGTTCTGATCTAGCAGTTGGTAAACATATTGGATAAATGTTCTTTGAGAATGTCAGTGGTTTCTTAAGCTTTATTATTCCAATATCGGCAATATTGTCATAATTAAACATTTCAAATTCTGGGTTTTTTATGATGACTAATTCATTTTTCGGAATTATAATCATATCTGTGTAATCAATTGCGGAAGTTCCTCCGATATGAATTTCAACTCTAATAAAAAAAACAAACAAACAATAATAAATCGAAATTGATTTTGAACTAAAGCCTTATCCTGGCCTTATCAGAGAATTTATGCTTAAAAAAGGTAGTAATCAGTTATCAAAAAAATTAAATAAAGAATAAATACTTGCATTTTTTCTTGGAAGCAATGACTAGCAGTTAATATTGCGTCATCTATATTAACAGAGAAGTGATTGAGAATGATTTTAATTGTGCTATTTAATAGTAAAGTAAATTGTTATATCCGAGAATGTATTTCACAAGATTTTTTAATTGATACACGATAAAAAGAAGCCAATTTATGTTATCCCTGTTTAATAATTTTAAGAGGTTGAATAGAAGAACTGAAGAATTACATTTTGATCATTTTTGACCATTTTTTGATCATTTTTGATCATTTCATCAGTACCACACCCTTGGTTGAAATATAATTTTTTACCGCGCACATTTCAATGATATAAATCGACTTTTGGTTATTTTTATATCCACATTATTTTAACTTGAGAATGTATGAGTCACTAAGAAATTCTTAAAAAACGCTTTCTTTCAATAAAAAGCACGTTAATCGGCAGAAAGACTCAATAACAAGATATCGTAGTTTTTGGGCAAGGTAGGAACAGCCGATGCTTTAAAAAAGCAAAAACAACTTCATTTCTTACGAATTTCATTTCTTTTTGGATTTTGTTTTTTAAAATTTAACTTTGGATGAGTAAACCTTAAAACATATGGCTTATTCTCGAGACTCGATTCAAAGTTTAGAGACTGACTGAGACAATAATTAAAGTAAAAAAAGTTCTTAAAATGCTATGTTGAAGTCTGATGAGAGGCTTTCTATTTTTTTTTAAAAACCTTTTTGGCGTAGCACAAGTTGAAAATTACAGCTTTAAATCTTCAAAGATTTGTAAAATGAAGTTCGATCTATCTACGAGACTATCGAAGGTACGGTGTGAATATATACGCATTTTGTTTCACCCGATATATTGTTTAATAATTTTCATCAGGTTTTCACCCTTAAAACATCTGTGATTTGATCTAATCCACAATGTCAATCAGAAGTGAGAAATTGGTCAACTCTTGAGCCTAAGTTTCCAAAAAATGAAAAATTTCCAAAATTTTAAATCAAACCTATAGTCACTAAGACAAGCTTTTAAAATTAAAAAATTATTGCTTTTACACGTACCTTTAATTATAGAACCCGCACATCCATAGATTTCATGAGTGCCATTGTTAATTACGATTCTAACTAGCCAAGGAGATTCTTCGAAATTTGTCGCATTTACATCATTAATCGTATCAATAAAGTTGCAATCTTCATGACTCATGTCATTGGTTTCATTTCTACAAATCCAAACTCCAAGCAAAATAGCAAAAGTCAAGATTAATAAAACACACCCGAAAAAAATCCATTTCCAGTATTTCTTCAAACATGAGATTTTATCTATCGATATTGTACTTCCTGATTTTTCAGAAGAGACTGAAGTATTATTCGATTCAGATTTTGGTATTGGGACATAAACACTTATAGATTTTGTAATTTTGTTTTGATCCATTTTTAAATCATGAATTTTATTTTTCACACAATTTTAAACGACAAGCAATTATTTTATTTTGAAGTGTTCAACACTAAAGTTTATTATGAACTGAATGTACTAAAGGACTTGTTTGAATTATATATGAAAACTGATAACGGCTGATAACAAATATCTTATAACATGATGTTATAAGATATAACAATATCGCATGTTGATCATACGATCTGTGATGTTCCATTATAATATTTCTGGATATAATGTTTACTAATGGAGGAAATTGGACGTAATTAGGAGATCTGTTTCAATACATAATATGTATAATTAAAATTAATTTCGTAATTGGTTCCCGCTGAAAAAGTGAAGTTGGCGGGAAAGATACCCAAATATTGAAAGTGGTATATCCAGTCATAGGAAGTAGGACGAAAATATTTAATTACGGGACGTAAAATGACGTAATTCTGATAAAGTTTCCACTTGATCTGAGAACCTGTTCCCGCCAGCTTCACACACACACACACACAGTTTTTTAGCGCATTTTTGTATACTTGTATACAAAAAGGTAGCTTAATAATGCGAAATGTTCGTTCGTTCGGCTGCTCGTTGGTCTGAAGAAAAACTTTTTAAGCAGACATCGTAGAGAGCTCAGGTTTGTTTTATTAGCTCCTAGCTTGTATGCATTAGAATTGAGATATCCTATCATATCCTGAAATTACACGTCCAATACACTAAGGATACGTTGGGATATCTTTACTATCGGGCATACATGCTCAGGAATTTTTTGAATATTTTTGGGATTTATGGGATAAATGGGATATTTGGGATAGTTTCCACGCCTTGATTCATACTATAATTAACCTTTTTTTTTATTTCATAAACAAAACAACGTGATGAGTACTTTTAAAAAATTCAACATTACCTCTATAATTTCAAATTTTTTCTAGCCGTTGTAAAATTTGAATTTCAAAAAACCGTTAAATGATAAACTTTTTCTGTATGAATATTCATTGTAGCAAATTATTAATTAAACTATAATTGATGTTTTTGTAGTGCAACTTTTAACGGAAATATTTCAAATTATTTATTGACCGTTAAATAATAAAGCCTTTCTATATAAGCACTCATTATAATTATTTGTTAATTACACTAAAATTAATGACCTTCTAAACTTCTAATGATCTGTAAACGAACGCAAAATAATTAGATAAACAAATACTGATCGCTGCGTCAAAAATGCGCTGAAATCCCTCGATCAATAACACGAGGACTTTTGTAATTTTTTTTGGTAAAACGGTAAAAAAACTGTTTTAAAAATTTTGCAAATGTTCCCCACTTTTCGATGAATTACAATAGGTAATAATTAAAAAATTACAGAAGTCCTCATGTTATTGATCGAGGGACTTAAGCGCATTTTTGTGTTCACGATCAGTATTTGATAATCTAATTATTTTGCGTTCATTTATAATAATTACAATGAATGCTTACATAGAAAGGCTTTATTATTTAACAGTCTTTTGAATTTCAATTTTTCTAGCGGTCAATAAATATTTGAAATTTTTCCACTAAAAGTTGCACTACAAAAACATTAATTATAGTATAATTAATAATTTGTTTCAATGAATTTATAGAAAAGGTTTATCATTTAACGGTTGTTTGAAATTAACATTTTACATCGGCTAGAAAAAATTTAAATTATAGAGGTAAAATAAAATTTGGACAGAAACAAATAAAAATTCATTAATTACATCATAAATGCATGATTTAAAGACTTTTAACCATTTGATGAGCCGATAAATCAATAATAACGGAGCTAATAAAACAAACGCGAGCTCTTTACGATATCTGGTTAAAAAGTTTTTCTGGAGACGAACGAACAAAGTGTACTATTAAGCTACCTTTTGGAAACAAGTATCAAAAATGTGCTAAAAATCAAGTGTTTTATTGATAAGGGTTTTAGTCATAAATCCCAAAGTTTATCAATAAATTCAATTAACTTCCTAATAATTTTTTATTTCATTGGTTATTGCCGCTCACGTAATATAAATTTATATTAAACTGTGTTAATTTGTAGTTTAAAACAATATTTTGGTTTCATAACAACTTGAAAAAGCCTTAAAATTACAAATTAATTTTTGAGTGCTACAGAACGTCTTGGTTGGAATTTGCTAACGTCATTCAACTTGTCATCATTTGAGAGTCTCAACTGTATTCTTCAAGGTTTTGTTTTGAAAGATCATTAATTCGCTCAATTTTCCTGAATTTCAATTTTTTTTAACAAGTTCTGCAAGTTCTTCTTCTTATTAATCTTATAACAATGCTAATTAAAGCTTTCGATTAACTTGTAAATGTTTATTAAATCAAAAACATAAGATTAAATAGTTTATATATTATTAAAAATCCAGTTTCGATAAGCTCTAATGTCAATGAACACACTAGGTAGTGAAAACTTCTTTGAACTTCCCATGGATAATATTCCATATGCAATTGATGTGTCTCTTTTCTTATATGTAGCTACTCCACCGCTGTTGCCTTTTGGAACATAACCTGGTTGGAAGTTACGAGTTAAATATTTTAAAGTATTTTTGAATTAATAGAAACTTACCAGAATTAGCACAGAAAATGACTTGCTCCTTGATTCCATCCTTGTTAAACTGAAGATTCCTTTCTCCTCCTTTAGTTAGATAGATCTCATGACATTTATCAGAATCAACTGATTCTATTAATCTTTCATTTCTATCCATACTATTAACAGCTTCATTTGTCCAAAAACTCATTGTGAAATGTTCTGGAAGATACTTTTCATCAATTGACAAGCAAATAGGATGGACGTACTTTGAAAATTTTATTGGTTTTTTGAGTTTCAATATTGCAATATCAGCATTATTTTCACGGTTTTCTGCAACAAATTCTGGATGTATTATTGGATCAAATTCACTTCTTGGAATTATGATCATGTCTTTGTAATTATTTGCAGATGTTCCACCAAGATGAATTTCAACTTTATAGTTTGGCGAGGTATCTAAGTATTCGTAAATGCAATGAGCTGCTGTCAGTATTGCGTCATCTGTAAAAATGGAAAATTTGGTGACTCATACTTTAAGAGGAATTCGAATAACTTGTTCCTTCTTATTTGTTATATTTGTTACCTGTTTTTTTAGATTTCAACTTATACCAACAAGATTTAAATGAAAGATTTGATGTCATTTAAGGGAGTAGCCTGGATTTTTGGAACAAGAAGGTGGGAAAGAGTAGAATTTTTTGTGTCAAAATGATTTCGGATTTAACTTTCTTGGCAAATTGAAGAAATGTGTCCGAATTTCGTTTGAACACCGCCCAACCTTATAGCTACACCCTTAATGTTAATTTTAAACAGATTCTTAGGAATTAATGATCTGTAATTACCTCTTATTATGGTTCCTGTGCATCCGTAAAAACTAACATCTCCATCATCTTCCAGAAATCTGACCGACCATGGCAATTTCTCATTATTCATGGAAATTTCGTCATCATTCGAATAGTAAGAACTGCACCCTTCATAATCTAATTTTAGTCTTTTAGCGATGTCTTTTATGTCATTTATATTTGCTAATGCCGATTTTGAAAATGCAATGCTTAATGGTTTTAAGAACAAGACTAATAACAAAATGGAAATCACTGACAAAATTACTTTTTTAATAAGTGTCTGATGCTTTTTAATAAATGATATAATTTTTTTTAACAAATTAGCACTTGGAATTGGCTTGGACAATTTTAAAATCTTCGTCGGTGTTGATACATTTGCATTTAATAATGGCAGTGAAACGTTGGGTTTGTCAGAAGGAATGTCGATGTGCGTAGTCATTTTGTTATTTTGATAAATATTCTAATTGTCTTTTTTTTTAAAAAAAAACTTTGTATAAAGGATTAATTATTTTTAATGATATTCACAACTCAAACATTAAAGTAAAACTGAAGTTTATTTTCTCCAAAAAGGATTTAAAAATGTAATTTATAACAAAGGTAACATAAAACAAAAATTGAAAATTTTGTGTGAATATGATAACATTGTTAAGTAAAAAGAAGATAAGGACTCATTTATAAGTATGTGAAATATATACTTATAAATGAGTCATTATCTTTAATCTGCAAAAAAAAATTTTGCTTTCCAACACATCCTCCTTATAATCATTCTTATTTTATAACAAACAATAACTTTTAATATCGATTTTCATATATTAAAACCTGTTATAATCTGTTATATTAAGACAATGATTATGTTAAAACAGAATGACTAAACTACAACCAATCGTATGATTTATAAAAATGTCAATTGCAGCATTTCGAAAATTTCGATATTTGTAATTAGATCTCTAAAGAGTGATGTCGGACCTCAAAATGGTTCTTTCTGTTTTTAATTAATTTCATTAGCTTTTTTTATTTCATTTTTTTATCATTTTCTTTAAAAATACGTACACTGATTTAAAAACTTATTGATCGTCGTTTTTATAATTTTAAGGGCGATTCCACGGATGAATTTTTACAAAAAACCGACTTTGAATCAAATTTTCTCTCAAACAAATGACTTTATAGCTCCAGTCTTAACACTTACATATGTAAATCACCGAGATCTATCTTTATGTATAATTAACTTTTGTCGTCAAGCTTTAATTAATGAAATATTTGGATTTTTGTCAGCGTTGGTATATTACACAATGTTGAATTCTGAGTTTGAAAGCAAAAATATACGACTTTAAAGACATCTAGACAACTATTAATGGTTGTTATACCGTTCATTCTATCTTTTTTTATGATTCTGCATACTTAAATTGGCTTGAAAGGCACTCAATTGTCAGAAAAATGAAAATTTTTAATGCATTTCATGTAATATACCAACGCTTAAGCCAAATCCGTGAGAAAATGATTTTTAAAAAGCAAAGTTTTACTTTAATGACTTTTATTACCAATTATTTTTTTGATAAGAATGTTGTTTCTAAAAGTTTAATAGTCAATGAAGATCTTTAACTTGTTTTAAAAAATGTGAGCTTAGATAAAATATATTTTTGAAGCAATCAAATTTTTAAAGAACATGGATCAAAAATTTTTTTTTTCGAAATTCAACTTAAAAGCTTTTTTTACAACTAAGAAGTGTCCCTACTTAAAAATAATAATAATAATAATAATAATACTTCTACTGCACCTTTTTTTTTGAAAATGTGTTAAAAATAATTCAAAATGATGTCAACGATGAGATGCCAAAAATAACAAAATTAAATTCACATTAAAAATTCAACGATATATTCGAACACATTTGAGGGGTGAGGATAATGTTATTTCTTAGCATTAGCATTTTTTTTTTGTTCAATCTGAGACTTTCTCATGAGAAATTAAAAATGTGTTGAGCATTAGACAGAGGCAATTCGATTAACTTTTTAGTAATCAAAATAATTCTGAATCTTCTTTATCATACACAATACCAATCATTAGATTTAAGTGTCTTTTTGGGTGAAATAAAAAGGATAAAGGATTGGAGGGTTTGTTCGATAATGACGAGGAATATTTGAGAAGCAGTTGATATTTTGAATTCTCTGCATATGTTTTAATGTTGAATTGACGCCATTTTGAATCTCAAAGGGGTATGCAACTACGTAAAAAAGGTTTTTGCTGTAATTTGATCAAAAATCTATGAAAGTTTCAATCAGTTTCAATAAAAAACCTAAAAGCTAATGAGACAGAGTACGGACGTGCCAAACCAATCCATACTCAACTGCACATCATTCATAAACGATCCCTAATCCACAAATAAAAATGAGGATGTCAAAAGAACAATTTTCCGCTTTTAATTTTCCCTCCATCATTTACCAATTTTTTATCGAGCCATTTATTGAAAAATAATATCGGAGCTGTATGCATCGGATAGGACACGAGGATAGAAACGAAGGCTACGCATGGTTAAAGATTTTTATGGTCCAAAAAGAATATTTTTTATGTTTTAGTCATTATTAATGGATCCAAATGATTTCGATTACACGGCTTCTTAGCCACGAAGCGATAAAATGGAAAGGAATGGAATAGAAAGAAGAAAATCCTTGTCTTATTCCACCATTGCTTAGTAAGTAATCTTACTCTCGATTAATAGGAGAAAATGGTTTTGCCATTCACTTTAAGCGACAACAGCAATTTTTTCTCTTCTTTCGGCTTTTTTGCAGCTATTGCTGCTCGCCTTCTTATGGGAGAAATGGTAATGGGAAATTAAAGAAAATATACGACGGTATTAAAAACAGGGGTGATGAAAAAAATTAAGTGGTTTTTGGATCTCCCTTTATTTTTTTGCTGCTTTTATTTCTTTTATTCATTTGTATTCTTGGAGGTATATAGATGCTGATTTTTGAGTTTTAATTGTGGCGGGAAATTATGGTTTGAACTCAAAGATATTGCAGAGGATTTTTCTGTAATTTTGATTTATTTTGTGGATGTTAAATGATAGTTTTGTGATGGTCGACTAGTTTTGGCTCTTATGGTCTAGGAATACTCTTTGAATTATGCAGACTTAAGTTACTGGTGCTCTTCTCAATATTTATCATATGAAATTAGTAATTACGATTATGTTTATGATCAATTCAATACTATAGATAATGCTTTGTTAGAGCCTGAATATGGCGATTTCGCATTTATATTAGCTTTAAGTTATTCTTCATTAGGATCGCAAGATGTGTCTTTAAAGTAAGTTTCAGTTCTATTCACTAGCTTTTTCGTAAGTTTGAATAACAATCCAAAAGTCATGCAGAAGACGTTCTCTCGAAAACTTATCAACTTCCTCAACTGTCATTAAATCAAAGCTTTTTCTCTTGTTTCTTTTATAAGATACCAAAAAAGCCATTCTTCTTCCTACCACTAACAAAAATTAATTGCTATGACACGAAAAAGTCTTAATTAAGGCATTTGTTGGCTTCAAATGATCCCAAAAATTAATCATTCGATTTTTTTTTCTAATTTTCTTACTTGTTCACGTCCATCCAATGATAAACATAATAAAACGAAATGGCACAATTAAGTTGGGATTGCTTTTGTTTGTGGACAATTTCCTTCGACTAATTGTAATTTACATTTTCTTTCTTATGGCTGACTCTATCAGTGCAGGGCAACAATTTCTCCCCGAGACATCAATTTAGATACTGACAATTTTTTCTTGTTCTGTTCCGTTTTATCTCACATCCATTATCATCTTTGCTATAAACGGCTAGTATCCTTTTTTAGAGAAAAGACGACCGAAGAGAGTTAGAAAATGGGACGTAAGGATTATTCGTAATAAAATAAAATATTTAAAGTGATAAAAATGATGGTCGCCTTCTATCTTCTTCCCCTTGCCATAGCTTGCTTGAAAGGAAATCGCTTGAGTGGAAAATTACCAGCAATTTTGTTCTCATGTCCATTTTCTTATTTTGAATGGAATGGAATGAAATGGAAAATTTATAAGTGGGATTGAGGATGGGAGGCGTAAATTGCTCAAGGAGAAAGGATTTAAATGCTTTCATTTCATGTTCTTAAATATTCTTTTAAGGCTGTTGTAGCCAATCTAGGAAAAAAAGGTAATAAAAGTTTTACTCTTTGGTTCTGTGGCCATTCCAAGCTTCCTTTTTCTCGCAATTCAAGCGTGTATAGTAAAATTTGCTACATAAATTGAACTCAATTATTCATGTTTCCCATAAAAATTAGAAGGTACGGCACTTGATTAAATAACTGTAAAATTATTTCCACTCGTCATGCATTAAATTACAAAATTATTTTGATTTAATTTCATTTTAATTCATGACACGTGTCTTATAGAGACTTCTTGGCTTATGCAAACAAGTGCAACCTCAGCAACAATCTTTGCGTGCGTGCACACGGACCAAATTTCTCTATTGTTGATGCTATTGTCTGCAATCCGATTCCCCTTTTACACAATTTATTCCAATTCATCACCGATGAAAATTATGCCATAATTTGCTTTCAATCGAATTTTAAATGGGATTTAATGTTTTTATCTGAGTTTTTACAATATTTAACATCGCCATTGAGATTGGGTGCTTTTGTGTAGAAGTGGTTGGGATGATTGTTTGCCTATCGATAGGGTTTTGTAGTTCTTAGTGCGCATTACGAAATTTTTTACTTTTTAACCTAAAAATTGGCAGAATTTCGAAGATTGTAGGTTTTTAAAGATTTCGATATTCGAAAACTCGAACAACTTAGAATCAAATTTTTCAAATTTTCTGTTAAACTTCAAACGAATACAGACAAAAATCTTAAATTTTAAGGTTAGTTTTGAAAATTTATAGTTTGAGGTTATTGCAACACTAATCAATTCTCATGAATCCCATCTCCCAGCACAGTCAAAATGAAGCTACTATAAACCACATAAATCCCACAAAAAAAAGCTCGAGAAGAAGAAGAAAAATTGAGATTGGGAATTTTCCGGTTGGTATAACAACAATGATTGGCAATAGGATATGACATCATGGAAAATTGCTGTCAGAGTATATAAAAAAAATTGAGAAAGAGAAGAAATAAAATGCTAATAGTCATAGCCTGTTTTGACACATGGACAATTGAGGTTCATGGCAGTCAAAGCATATCGCATAGAAAATTAATTCCTCACTTACGCTTCTGATCGCTTCTGTTCTTCTTTATAGTATCTCACTCTCAATTTTATTACATTTCCATTGCGTCAATCATGTGAAACAAGTGAGGAGGAAGGAATGGAAAAAGAAAGAAAGGATTTAAAGAGCTCACTGCTTTTTAATCGAATTTTGATACGCTTGAATTAAAAGGAAAATTGCTTAGAGTGACAAATAGAATAATTCTGATTATACACGCACACATAGATATTCTGTGTGACAATTGAAGGAGGCAAGCAGAAATAGGATTCAATTTCAAGGGCTTTTAATTCCGATATCGCTTATTTTCTCTTTTTTATTTCTTTTTTTTCTTCGTTTTATTTCATATCCAATTC